AAAAGTAATTGTTGGGGTGCCAAAGGCTGCTGCAGTCAGCCCAGCCAAACTACCCCTGTGCATCCCAAAAGGATTTACAGTGACATTTTGGAAATGGATACTAAAAGCAAACAAGGCAATCACTAGCTAAATGACTCCCCTGGGATGTCCACATTTTTCTCGCAGTGATCCCCGGTGCACATCAGTTTCAGTGGGATTACTACGAATCACCACCAGTGTGATTGAGATTCGAACCTGGCCCTCCGAAAATAATTTTGTCAATTACAGCTCACTTGGGAGATTCCCACTTGCTTAGAAGCTTTTGAACAAACAAAATGCAGCAGAGAGAGGACACATTGTTACATTTTGGATTGGGTAATGACAGATAGTAATTGGAAAGGGTCACATCACACTTCTAGTTGTTTAATTGACAGGATTCTCACTGCTGTATTTTCTTTCAAACTGCAGAATTGCAGACAAGCATCCAAAAGGGGATAAAATTGATTATGATGAAGTAGTTGGCTCTGATTGACTTAACAGCCATTCTGCTGCTTGTCACCTCTCAGTGTCGGGGTTTGCTATAGAGAAATGAGTCAGTATCTTCAACATCTAAAATATCTCTGAACATTTGAAATTAAGCTACGTGAAATAACAATAACTCCCCCCCACATGATAGCAAAGCTGTGGCTAACATGTTACACACACCCAACGCAGGATTTTTTTGTGACACCGTTTTTTGCTCCTCAGTTACGCCAGCATAAATCCAGATAACTCCATCGGCTCCAGTGTAATTATCTGAATTTACAATGATGCATCTCAGAACTGTAAAATAGCATCCCGTTTACATGTACTATTTTTATATGACACTCTCTGGTGTTACTATTTATGCCTTAGCATTTCGGTATAGTATGACTAATTTATGATTTCTGTAGGGGTGGGGACTTTCAATCTGCCTCCTTTTACTACTGTAAAATTCCCATCTGCATTGTGACATTAATATAGTTTTAGGCATTTAATTTCCTTCTTTGTTTTTTAAAAAGAGGAAATCTGAATCTATGGATGTGAGCCTCAACTAAGCATGGGGTCACAAATTCAACTAAATGCCCCACAGCACAGATATAATCATAAAAAGTAATCTACTGAACATATTTCAATGCATAGAACGCCCGGGAGCTACAGAATTCTGCATGTCTCTGTTGCTCTATATGATTAAAATTACTAGAGCATATATTTTTCATGACTTTAAATTCTATTTTGTAATCTATTTTTTCACCTGATCTTGTCAAAGCTATAGTGATATACATGCAAAGACTCCATTTTGTAAACCTTACTTGGAAGTTACAAATATTCACATAAGTAGCACCCCCATGATGACAAAAGGTGGCCAGATCAGTTCCAAATTTAGTACTTTTATAACAAAATTATTTTGAGTTGGGTGAAAAAAAGTATCCAAATAATGCATGAAAGAAGTGTTGTTTTTTGACCCTTGTCTAATGACAAAAACGCTGAGTGGATTTTCTTCAAACCTTCACTTTTGGGCTGAGGGCAAGCATAAAAGATTTTAGACCTAAGGATAATGGTAATGTTTAATATATATATTTGTATACACACACACACACACACAAATGGAATGAGATTGTTGTCTCAATAAAAATTAATAGCACAGCTAGTGATAATATAGTGAGGGATTGGATGATGGATTACCACCCACCAGTAATGAGATCAGGAGGGATTTTATGAATCAGCACAGATGAGAAACACAGAGTTTTTTTCTTTATTTTCATGGGTCACGGCCTCTTGGAACAAGCACTATTTAATGTAACTTTGCTGTTGTGGGCATCGGTTTTACGTGTCAGCTCCGGCTACACAATGAAACCTGTTTGTAGTGTGACCTATTTTCAAAGATGCGGGAACAAGTGACACTCTGAACGTCCTGAGTGATTTCCACTGAGATCCAGTGAGTGTGTGGTCACCCGCTGAGTGGCTAATAGTATTTAAGGGGAAAACTCTAGGTCTTCTCAGTGTTTGGGATTCCCTCATTGGTGCATAGCTGCACTAGTGCAAACCTCAACTGTAGTCAAGGAAAGCCATGATTTGCACTAGCTTAGTTTATCCCTGCTTGAATATAGGATTGTCAATTGGTGCAAATCACAGGTTTTCTTGGGCCCATTCCTGTCCACCCTTGGGTTTTACATGGTTCCTGGCCACCAATGACTAAAATTGAAATAATCCCAAATAGAGATCACGGCCTATAGAAAAAGACATTTCCCAGAGGGAACGAAAAAGATTAGATAACCAGTCATTGCAGAAAATGGAGATGTTTTTAAACTAGAGGCTGTTAATGAAGACAGGTGGATTTCCTTGTTAGTTATGAAAGATAATTTGAGAGAATTTTTTTTTCACTCCCAGGAGCTTTCGGAAAGTTATGTTAGTTTCATTTAACAGTTTTTTAAGTGTGAACCCAGGGACTGTACAGCTTATTAAAAATGAAACAGAAGTAATCCTAGCCATTAAAAAGGTTTAACCTGCCCAGAGCACTTGAAAAGCTGCAGCCAGTATGCTGTTAAAAGCGAATGTAAACACCTGAGCATATTTAGAGAGCTTTGTTTTTGGAAAACTTGCATTACGAAAACAAAGCTGCAAATTTATAACTGAAAACGGCAGGGTAAAATCCTGCTCATTTTACTCACCCACACAGTCCCCTGGATTTCAAAGGGACAACTCATGTGAGGTAGGAGAGTAGAATCTGGCCCCCAGGCTCATACGAGAAGGCTTTCTGTGAATATTCCTGGATTTTACACTCATCTCAGTCCTATCCGAAGGTCTGTATTTTATATGTCACTTACCCACCTTATTCCCTCTCAAGTTCATAGTGTTGTTTTCAAGACGGAATAAAGATCTGACTGCAGATGGCATTTACGAGCACGGTGAGTCTAAATTTACTACTGCCCAATAATCTCTCTCTCTTCCCCCCTTTCGGTTTGTGACCTAGGCTATGACATCATTCCCTAAGGCGCTATAACACATTCCCTGAACATATTCTAGAACTGTGTTGTCCTGTCCAAGCTAGCAATGAACATCTGTTCAGTTATGGATGCTCCCGTCATATCAAACCACTCGGCTCACACAAACTTGTAGTATGGTTCAGCCAAAAGATGCTGGACATGAATTTGCCTTCTGAGCCGAGAGTAGAACTGTACTTTGTACTCCTATCAGATCTTCCAACTGAGGATCGTAAAGCACTTTACCATGAAACACCTCTGTGAGCGAAGTATTATTGTCTGTAGTTTATAGCTGGGGAGCCAGATCCTCAGCTGATGTAAATGGGCAGCTATGTTAATTTCCTCCTGCTGTGGTTCTCGCCTCGGGAAGGAGAAGCAGAGAACTTCATTGATTTGCCTAAATTCACACAGCAAGAGCATAGATTGTACCTCTGCACTATCTGCACTCAAATGTATTTGGGTCATTGGACATTACTCTGATCGACAGCCAACGGACGGTATGAAATTTCCAGGCTCTGGTGGTGGAAAATTTCCCCAGGTTATTGCAAAACTAATTAAAAATTCCACCTTCACTGTTTCTTATTTAATGATTTTGTCAGCATAAAACTAACCTGCTGTTCCCCTGCAGGCCACCCAGAACTACTCGGCCAACCTGGATTATTATACGGGTTCTAGTTCTGTGTTGCCGCCGTACGACAACCCGTTTAACCACACAGACATCATTTGTGAAAAAAGTCACACCCGTCAGTTTGCTCAAACTTTCCTGCCAGCATTTTTCTGGATTGTATTCTCCATCGGCACAGTGGGTAATGCCTTAGTCATCCTCGTCTACTGCAAATACAGATACAGGAAGAGCATCACTGACAGATACCTGCTGCACCTGGCCATTGCTGATCTGCTCTTTGTTTTCACTCTCCCTTTCTGGGCAATAGCAGCTTCACATGGCTGGATCTTTAAGAACGTCATGTGTAAAATTGTCAATAGCATGTACAAGATCAACTTCTACAGTTGTATGTTATTTCTAACATGCATTAGTTTTGACAGGTACATTACAATTGTCCAGGCCATGAAAGCTAAGAACTCTAAGCGAAAAAGGCTTCTGCGCAGTAAACTAGTTTGCTTTGGTGTTTGGCTGATTGCAATAGGCTTATGCATCCCAGAAATAGTATACAGTGAATCTAAGCAAGTTAGTAATACAACTACTTGCAAGATGGTATACCCTACCACAGTGACCCGAACCATCAAAGTTACTGTCCTAGCTTTGAAAATCACAATAGGATTCCTCCTTCCTCTCTTCGTCATGGTTACCTGTTATGCTTTTATAATTCATACCCTCCTTCAAGCCAAAAGATCCCAAAAGCACAAATCATTAAAGATCATCATCATTATTATCACAGCTTTCCTCCTCTCCCAGTTGCCCTACAACAGCATTTTGCTGGTCAAAACCAT